CGTGGCCTAATTGCACATCACGCCACTGATGTACAATTGGCTCTAAATTCTACATATTTCAGAAAAATTTGCTCCTGATATCGCTATGGTTGATTCTAATCCACCCMACTACATTATTGCAGTCCAAATTTTGGGGGTGTGRCCTAATCACATATCACACCATTGACATGTTTGTCTATAAATTCCTCATACTTGAGCCAATCTGCACTGAATTCAATACGGTCGATCTTAATCCACCCCACTACAGGAATGCAGTCCAATTTTTGGAGGGCATGGCCTCATTAGACATCACGCCGTTGACATACGGTTGGCTCTAAATCACACAAATATGATCCGATCTGAACCTAAGTTTTTGTGCATCAGTATGGTTTTGTAGAAGTTTGACAAGATCGCTTTAGCTTCCTGTCCCTCTGTTCTTTTGTCACTCTGTCCATCTGTCCAAATGTTCACATTATGAGAATATTTAAATAATGAAGGCCTGTGATGATTCCAACAAAACTGGTAACAGTTGGTCACTACTGAACGAAGACGGGGGACATCGGTGACGATTGGTGTTGCGTTCTATCTTTTATTTTTAGATGCCTTTTTGTTATGCCAGGATTCATATTTATGATAATAAAAACTCAAATTTGTTCTGGAATTTACAAATGAGATAGAGTTAAGACAGTTTAGGTTGTTTATTTGGCAGGACCTCTATTAGTATTGAGTCACATTCATACAGAAAAAACTATTAATGTTTTGGACCTTAATATAAAACCTCAGTAAGTTAGTAAATGTTGTGAAAACCTGAAAAGGAAGCAGGCTGCAGAAATAAAAACAACAACAATCAGATCAACTCCTAATTTTTACCTATAATGATTCCCACTTCACAACGCTGATCGTCAAATCCACATGTCATCATAGTGCCAACTGTATCATTCACGACTGCCATTATATCAGCTTCATAATCCTGAAAAAAAAAACTTAATTAACTAAGCATCTGTCCCAGGATGAAGCATTTTTATTGTTATTATTACATGTGTGAACAAACCTCGAAAAAGAAAAATGAAATCTCACCCCACGTTTCTTAATTGCTTTGTTTAGGAGCTTCACAACATCCATACCCTCAACACCACTGGCTTTAAACTTCTTTGTCCATGTCACTAAGACTGCCTGAAAAAAAAACATACCAGCCTGCCTTTTATGCTTTATTGCAAATAATGTTTTTAAAGTTAGCACAGTCAATGGATCCCTAAAGCATGAAAGCATTTATCACAATTGTTTAAGATGTTTACCTCATCCAGTTTGGATTGGACACAGGGGAATGAGAATGTAAAACCCACAGGGAGCCTTTTATCCTTAATTTTTTGTTTCTCCATAAAATCTCCGAGGCAATCAGCAACATGGTCAAAGAGCTGGGGACAAGCAAAAGACATTTACATTGTTGAATACTGAACTCATAAAAAAAGTCTACGTAGTTTGAGGAAAACATTTAACATTTTTCTTTTATAATTTTAGATTTTATGCATAGTTCTTTTGAGCCATTATTATTGTAAAGAAAAATTCTTGTTAAGTCATAAGTCAAAATTTCAAGAAATCAAGTTTGGCAAGGTTTTTTGAGATGAAGAGGAACTGCAGGTTTTTGAAATACAACCCTTTTTTAAATGAACAAAAGCAAAAAAAAATTACAAATCACATGAATTCTACACTATTTCAACCAGTGGTTCTCATTGTTTTCTGTCATCACCCCCCACCATCAAKGGGACCCCCCATTGATATACATTACTGGATTGGGCGTCACGTGACCTGGGCGTACTTCGCAAGKGGGATTTTTATGCATTGAGCAAATGCTAACGCTAACCATTGAAATCAATGAGCAGAACGTAGCGCGGTGCAAACGCTTTATAAATGTACAAATGTTTCAAATACTTTGCTGTAAACTACATAGATTGTTACAACATGTTTACAAGAGCTAAAAGATTTATGTTTCACAGGTGAATATTAAGCATATTTAACCAAAATTAATTATTTTAATTGTAAAACCTGTATGCTAACAATAAACAGCTTCAATGTTTATGTTTAACCTTATTTAAAGTCCATTTAAACATGTAAATATGGACTTTATTGGATTGTTGACTAATTAGACTGCGTATAGTACGGCTGTGTCCAAAACGGCAGGACGGGTCCTCCGAAGGTCGAATTTGTCGGCTGCATACGTCACAGCGC